CTCCTTTATCCTGACATACACCCTTACCAGACTCATGATGTCACTTACACACGCCAACATTCTACTTTGGTACCTATAATCTTAGGACTTATGTCCTAAGTGGTAACTCTAATCTTAATGTCTGCTGCCTCCCCTTTGCCCATCCCCCACAAACTCGGGACCTCCATGAACAATAGTGCTGTGTTCGTCACTTCACTTTCCTGTTCAAACGTTCACTACATCGGTAGTGCCTAAGGTAGGGGGTCTCCAATTTAATGATCTTTAGATGACCAGGGCTTCTTTTTTTTTTTTTTTTAAGATTTTATTTATTTATTTGAGAGAGAGAGAACACGAGTGGGGGCAGCGGTGGGACAGAGGGAGAAGCAGGCTCCCTGCTGAGCAGGGAGCCTGACATGGGACTCGATCCCAGGATCCTGGGATCATGACCTGAGCCCACTGAGCCACCCAGGCATCCCTAGATGACCAGGGCTTCTGATAATGAAATCGCTAGGCTGGAAATAAAGCACAGGTATATTTATGTGGATATAGATAAATGGTGGGCTCCTCAGTCAGAAATATGCTGGCAACCACGCCTCTTTCAGCAAAGTCTAGACACGAAGGGCGTTACTTCATCACTCGGCTTTGCCTTGGCTGGGAGGAAGGTCCCACTTTTGGAATTTGCAGTGGTCTTGGGCACCTGAGCTGCCTCCATGGGCAAACTCCACATCACTGTTTAGGGGGTCTGTCCCAGAAAAGGAGGGGACAATTCTCCTCGATAACAGACATGTTGTTTCTGACTGTCCATCATGGTGTCCCTACCAGCCTCTACCTCCTCACCCCACCACCAGCACCTCGTACACAGCGTGGGGCACACGATCTAGTGCAAGACCGCACTCATCATACTGCACTCTCTGATGGATGTGGACTGATATAGGGCCAGTCAGAGCCCTTGAAGGAAATCTCTACGAATGGAACTTGGAAGAGACAAGACTTCTCTTTTCTATGGCTCAAAAGCCCCAGAATGCAGGCTGGGAACTACTTGATAGTCAGCTTTCTCAGCACATAGAAAGGGGCCTCAGAATGAAGCTGACCCAGAGAGAAAGGAACTGAGAAACAGGGAGAGAGAGGGAGAGAAAGCGCTCTGACAAAGCTCACGTGAGTCTCTGGGTTCTTGCCATGACTGAAGCAAGGTACATCTTTGGATTTTCCAGTCATATGAGCCAATAAGTCCTTTTTTTCATAACATAGTTAAACAGAGGTTCCTTACACATATAACCAGGTGAATCCTGACCAATTCCCTTGGCCAGGGACACAGGGTGGGGGGGGGGGCACCTGTCCACCCTTGATGCACTTAATGCTTGGGCAGATGAGGGCGCCGCAGGAGGAAATGTAGAGATCCACATCTTCACACCTTGTTCAGTTCCTATGACTCCTGTGTAATTTCACCCCCAGGGACAAAAGTTTCCAAATCACAACTTGCTCTTAGAACATATCCCATTAGTAGTAAAATGGTCCCCAAATCCCCATCTTTATATGAGTTTCCTTTTCCCAGCTGCACTCAAAGCTCTTAGAAGAGTCTTATCAATGACTCTGTAAATAGTTAAATCCCCAGAATTCCTGCTGAGGAAGGGGAGGGAGGTGAGGTGGGGAGGAAGCACACAGAAATAATCACACTAAACATCAACAACAGGAACCGAGACATTTCAGGAGGTCTTGATCTCATAATTGGAGACTTATCTTCCAGAATGTAACCTAAATTTTTACTCAGAAATTTAAACCTACACTAAAATCAGATACCCACCTTATCTCTCTGTCCCATGAACACAGGGTTTCCAAAGCACGTTCTAGCTTCTCCTATCTCTACAAATCTGCAGAAAGGCAACGGGGCGTACTGGTGCATGCATGCTTTATAGTATTAGTTCCAGTTTTGTCACCTTTCTGCTCTCATTACCTTTTAGGAATGTTGTGAAAAATCAGTTGCCATTATTTGTGAAAATTCATCAAAAACCATCCAGTACTAAGCAAAAGTTGGTATTTATTATTTTATTGTGTATTTCAAGCTCAGATAATCAATGATGGGTCAGATCTCCTTTACCTCGTATTAGCATCATTATTACCCTTTCTCTGTGTCCAGCATGGCCTCCTGCCTATCTTCCCTTGACCCAAACTCTATTAACTGCACCCTTCCCACACTACACTCTGACTTCTCCCTCTCAATTCCACCAGAACTCATCATTCAGCACTTTAAAAAGAAGACAGAAAGATCATGGGTCCAAAGCCCTCGATCTGTCAATGAGGGGATGATGGGAGAAGGGCGCAGAAGCCCATTAAGGCCAAGGAACATATCTAGGGCCACTCATTCAGTGGCTTGGTCAGGACAACAACTTAGGTTTTCCAAGCCCCCATCCAGAGTCCTCAGCTCCCCCATGTGCACCAGTCTCCTGATGCTCAAGGACCATCCCATGTGCTCAGTGATCTGTGGCCCACTTTCTAGACTTCTCCCCACCAAACTTTAAGTTCCCATAGGAGAGGCTACCTTGCAGTCCATCGGCTAGCAGGGCACCCCAACATGTGTTCATCCGTGTTCTCTGAGTGCTTGGGCACATATCAGACATGAACAGACAAAACCTATCTTAAGTCCTGAAACAGATACACTTACCAAAACTGCAAATCATCTATCCCTTAATAAAATGAAGGGTCCATCTCATTGCGATTTGTTTTTTGGTCTCTACACAAGCTTTTTTTGTTTTTCCAAATGCATTTTGCTTGAGGAAGACTTCCCATGATGTCTTCTATTTAGGGAGAGTAATAGAAAATGAAATTTATTTTAAAACTGCCTTCCCTTTAGACACTATATTCTGTTTAATAAGGGCATTATTATGAGGACTTATTTATCTTCAACTAATTTTGCTTAAGAAATGTAAAAGGTGGGGCGCCTGGGTGGCTCAGTTGGTTAAGCGACTGCCTTCGGCTCAGGTCATGATCCTGGAGTCCTGGGATCGAGTCCCGCATCGAGTCCCGCATCGAGTCCCGCATCGGGCTCCCTGCTCGGCAGGGAGTCTGCTTCTCCCTCTGACCCTCCCCCCTCTCATGTGCTCTCTCTCTCCTCTCATCCTCTCTCTCAAATAAATAAATAAAATCTTTAAAAAAAAAAAAAGAAATGTAAAAGGTGACATCTGCTTTTATCCTTATTCTTATCCTAAATATGAACTTCTTTTCCTTTAGGCTGAGAATCTTCAGGGGATGAACGAAGTTAAGCAATCAGTTCAGATTCGCTCCCCCTGCGTGTCAGCAGGTATCTTCCTCTGCCCAGTGAGCTGTTGTCAAAATTCTGAAACCACACAAGTCCGACTATAGTAATCTAGCTGTTGGAGCATTCCAAAACTTCACTAAAAATTCTTCAAAGTTAAAATAACAAGTGCAGCCATCCTTCCTTACGATGATCCTTCCTGAAGAATCCCTTCTGATTATGGGTGCATTGGGGATACCACATGGCATTTACCTGGACCCGACTCAGAAGCAACAGGTAAAGCCTTTCTGTGCCGACCACCTGGAAATCACACACAGAGCCTTCCCACACAAGAACTCCCTCTTTCACTGAAGGCTTTCCCAGCCTAGGATACAAAGCTAATTATAACCAGGGTTACAAATTACAGCTAAATCATCCCATAATTATGAGCTCTCTAGCAGGACTTGGTTAGCAAAAATCATTCCTAACACCTCTGTATATATTTTTAAGAGTAAAGAAAAGTCTCATAACATTAAATTTATATTTAACTATATTTACATTTAACTATAATTTCCACTTAATGAAAACATTATTTTCTGTTTAGAGGGACTCCTATTCTTCACTTAAACTGTTTGAAAAGCATGAAACTATAAGCAGATGCTTCTCTCCGGATAAACAATAGCGGAAAAGCAAGGGTTTAAAAAGTTTCAAAATTTAGCCAATTTTTCACAAAATGGTAATATATTCCTGTATTAGCAGCCAAATAACAAACTGAAGGTCATTTGATAATAAGTATTTCTATAATGCAACACGGGACAAATCATCAAAGTAAATAGCTTTTACAGGAGCTGGTAATATTTATGCACAAAGCACTTCAGAAAGTGTAGCTCAGAACTTGGTTTGACTGCAAAACCAAAAGAGTTCAATATCCTTACTGACAAATAAGAACAGTTGACGATTCCTTAAATGTTTTCTATGCATACAGTTGCCCACAGCTACTTCTGAAGGTCTTCAGAAGAAAAAAAACAAGGTTAAGAGACACTTTAATGCAACATAATGCAGTTCTGAAATACACCAGACTCAGGTGTACTGGGATTGACTCCAATTAGTAAATTACATATATGTGCAGCATCTGACTTCTTGCCATTGCCCATGCCTGGTACTGAATAATGAATTATATTTATTACATCTATCACACACATACACTTCTCCCTCTAAATCTAAGGGCAGTAAATAGACACAGAGAGCTTACACCTACACAATGTGAAATGCTTGCGTGGACAATTAATTATAGCAAAAGAATGATTAATGAAGCAAATCTTGCAAAGCTTCAGCTTTTTTTCTGAAGGACAGACTATATGACTATATAGGAAGAAAAGTGGTGCTGAATTTGGCAAATAATTGCTTCGCCTCTCCATTTTGCCCATGTAGATACTACCAGATACTGCCTTTAGGAAACCCTGACTACACTTTGCTCCTGCCAAGGACTCCTATAAATTGACGCTGTGCACGTCTTCACAGAAAATGCTGACTCTTTGGAACCGAGACAAAGGAGGGTGTAGCTCAAAGAAGCCTAGCCAGGCGCTCCAAAGCTCCAGGCTCCCAGAGGCTGCCCCGCAAAGCTTCTCTTGCGCTCCGAGGACTGGGGAGTCCGAAACTGATGGCGGACTCGGTTTATTTCCCAAACTTCAGGAGACAGTGTTTACCCTAACTCTGCTGCCTGAAGCAGGGAGGAGTGGGGGTGAAGAAGCTTCCTCCCCGACCCCGGCAGCACCCCTCCCTCCCCCCTCACCTGTCCTGAGCGCGGGGCCTCAGGGGTCCAGCGGCCTCTCCGGACTCTCACTGCAAGCGCAGTTGGGACGTCAGGCGCCTCCGCAGACGAACGAAAAGGCGGCGGACTCGAGGGCGTCAGCGGGAATCTCGGCAGCCGCGGGCAGCCGCGGGCTCACTCCCCATCCCCGCGGGGCTCGGGCGGCGGACGCGGCGCGGCCACCGCGGGCGGATGAGTCAAGCGAGGGGGCGGGCGGCGAGGGCGGGGGACCGGCGGAGGAGGGTGGGGGGCGCCCCTATCCCCGCGCCGGGGGTGCGGCGGCAGCCTCGGGGCGGGGGACGTGCTGCCGCCTGTGCCCGCCGCGGGTCGCGGGGCCGCCGGCCACCGCCATCGAGCGCACGGAGCCCGAGCGCTCCTGCCCTCGGCGGTCAGCGGGCGCGGCGCGCCGGCCTGGAGACAGGGACTCTCAGCTCAGGAGCGGTCGCCGCCTCCCAGAAAGACAAAAGGGACCCGGAGGCCGGGAGGGGAAAAGTTTTCTGCTCTGCTCCAGACGGATCCCAACCAAGCCTCACGCCCTGAGCACGGAAGAGGCGGGCTGGGGGCAGGGGACGGGGGGCGGGGCGGGATTCCAAGAGCGTCCACCGCACGGTCGGGACCCGGGTCCGAGCCAATCTCGCCGCCGCCCACCACCCGTGGGAACTCCCCCGGCCCTGCTGCCCCAGCTCTCGCAGCCCGCCTCCTCCTCGAGGATGCCCACGAGGTCCGCTCCTCCCCTTCCCAGGCCCCCCAAAGGCCCCCTAACGCGTGACCCGGCCGCAAAGTTGCACTTCTAGATCCGGGATTACCGCAGACAAAACCTATCTTTGGGGACAAAATACCCGCTTTCAGGAGCTCTTCTCCGGGCTGGAAGGCCAGCGGGTGGAAACGGACACACCCACCCGTGGGGCGCGCCTCTCTCTGCGGTGGAACCCCAGGTCCCAGAGCCGAGGTCCGGGCCCCGCCAGTCCTCTGGAGCAATAGGGGAGCCCTTGCGGATTCCCGGTTTTCCTGGAGCAGGCGCCTGGGCCCCACGCCCCTCAGACTCTTTATCAGACGCCGCCTGGGCGGGTCGGGGTCCCCCTGGCGGGCTGCGCGAGCGCTGCGCGAGCGGAGCCAAATCCGGCCCCGAGCCGACACGGCGAACGGGGCCCCTCTGTCTACAGCGCCATGGAACGCCCAGCCGATTAGTCGCGGGTCGGCCGGGAAAGAGCTGCGAAAAACGGCTTGGGGGTGAGGGTTATGGGCCCGAGGGATAAGGGCGAACCGGACCGTTGAGAGCTTCGATAAACGGTGCTGACGTTGAACTCGAAACATCAAAGTCAATGAGGGATACAGGTTACTCCTCCTTGCTCCCAAACATCCAGTGAGTGGAGACTGCCCTATTCATAGAGTAAAACGATATGATAATTACCTCCAATTTGGCAGAGACAGAGTGGTGATTTTATTATATGCAGGTCAATTCAGTAAATAAGGTTTCGTGTAAAATTCTGGATTACTATTCCAGCCATGACACTGGCTTGTGCGGAGCACATCAGTGCCAGCACTTAGAGTGGGGTGCCCCTGTGTGTCTCCTGAATATATTTTAGGTGATGGACTAGAAAGCAAGTATAGCATTCTGGTGAAGTGTATTTGTGTATTTAAGACAGGGAAGAAGGGTTTTGGGGGGCGGAGGGGAGGGATTCCATGCAGAACCCCACATTTTGGAATTCAGACATGGCAATGAGGAGAGAATGTGGAAATGGGTTTCTTGTGGTCCAGTCTTCCTGTCTTGACTGGAAGAATTTGGGGATTTGGCATTTTTAGTAAAAATTTTACAATCAAAATGTTTTTTGTTTTTTTGTTTTTTTAAAGATTTTATTTATTTATTTGACAGAGAGAGAGATAGCAAGAGCAGGAACACAAGCAGGGGGAGTGGGAGAGGGAGAAGCAGGCTTCCTGCCGAGCAGGGAGCCCGATGTGGGACTCGATCCCAGGACCCCGGGATCATGACCTGAGCCGAAGGCAGACGCTTAACAACTGAGCCACCCAGGAGCCCACAATCAAAATGTTTAAAAAAAAAAAAAAAACTAAAGGAGTAGGGAGGGAGGTGAAGAAATAATTCACACCAATAAACCATCTGTAGGTTTATTTTTACCCCACCTGCATCTAGTACTCTTTAGCCCACAGCCACTTGCTTAATTCTCTTGGTTTTCTTACACATTTGTCAAGGCACCCACACTAAAGGAGTGTGATTCCACTGGGCCTTTCCTATATGTTTATAAAGCCACATTTTTATATAAAGCTCCTGAGAGTAGACATCGCCTGGTCATGTTCACTAGGTTCCCAGGGAATGAATAACAGGTTCATAGCATCCATAGAGATCATCAAACATGACATTGCATCTAATACAAGTGGTGAAACATTTAAAATGCCCATCTAACCATCCTACACATTGAATAACTGAGCCTTCCTCAAAGAGGAAGTGATAAGGACTACGAAAGAAAAAATAATCCCATTCTTATGGCCATAGATGTTGATGACCCGTCATTTCTGAAGTTAGATTTCAGTGATTCAACCCAAAAAGAAGAAGCAGCAGAGATGGACTACATGAGACCACCAAAAGGGAATTATTTACATTTCTTTTAAAAATAATTACTATTTGTCTCAGAAAAGACTGAAGTAAGGTGTTTTATAAATAGGTGATTATCTACAATTCAGTAGACCAAGCAACTCCCAAGATATAAGTTACAAATTCTTTCCTGGCATTTTGAGTGCTCAAGGCAAGCCCAGGTAAATTATTTAATCTTTGCTAATGGCCAGTGTCTGTCCATCTGAAAAAAGCCCAGTGAGGATAACACCACTGGTAATGGATTTTGAATTAAGCTCCATATCTGCTCTTGAAATAATGGATGGGACCTCTCACCATCAGGCTGCACTGCACTTCACACATATTTTTGCCCTGTCCTTATGAGATTTGTAAATTTCCACTAGAACAAGCCCATCTTATAAGAGTGCACAGTGGAAAGAGAGCACTCATCTTTGTAATTCAAGCTCAGCTACCTACAAACACTACTGACAGAGGGACTTTGAACCTCATTTCTTCCATTCCTTAAGTAGGAACAAAGTACCTATTTCAAACTGTTTCTGTGCAAATTGAATGAAACAACATATATAAGACTCTTCTCACCTGTGACATAGATTGTCAATACATAGTGAAACACATGCACATACACACATGTACCCCAAACTTGTTTTAATGTTAAAAAGAAGACTCTTCTTTGGAATCTAGAATTGAGAAAAATTTTGAAATATGAAGATTTAAATTTTCACTCCTGGTATACTATAAATGTAAGCCCAATGGATGGCAACACATTTTTAGTAAATTCATTTTGAAAATACACACAGGAATAAAAAGAGTATCATAAAGAGATCATGTAACAAGGCTAAGGGAAGGCCTGTCAGAAAGTTTGTGTGATTATACCCATTTTCTTTTGCCACAAATGTAGCCCATAGCATCTCCAGACCTGAGAAGAGGTCCCCAACCAAAAAATAAAAAATATTTTCAATGGAAAACAAATGCAATTGTTTGCTAGATTCTTACCTGAATTTTTTTACTCCAACTGTGAAATAGATTGATAGTCTTAAGGCCCCCAGGGCATCTCTGCTGGAAGCCATAGTTGCTGTTTCAAAATAAAGGGTAAAAAAGGACAAAGTCAATTAAAGAAAATGATCCATCTGATTTTATCTTTAAAATTTGGAATGAGGTAGAAGAAATACAGGGGAAAGAAAAAGGTAATAGAAATATATTTACAAAGAAATTTTAAAGGTCATTTTATTTCACTGTGAATTTGAATAGCACTCTGCCACATTTTTAATTTTTCTTTTCTCATTTTGTATAATTGATTAATAGTTCAGTATATTTAGCAGCAGAAAGATGTTGCTAATTTCTCTTCATTAAACACACAAGTAAGAGTACTAACCGTCTCAAATAGAGGTTTTATAACATTGTAGCTGATACTATTACTTAAATATTTTATAAATTTTGTATTAACCCCCCTATTTGATGATAAACCTGATTAGGTTATTTTTACCTGAGGAGCACTAGCAGTATGCCTTTAAAAATACAAAGTGGGGGGCACACTGTCATTCTCCAAAAGACCCAATTCTTTCCTGTGAACAGATTTGTACCTATATGTGAGGAAGGGTCACTTCATGGCTGCTGGCAATCCAGGAAGTACTTTCTCAGAAAGTTTCTGACTGTGTATTTCGTTACAAGAATCTATCCACAGAAGGTATTAGATTTGGCTGAAATAGTGGAGAAGATGGGAATGGCAACCCACCTGTTCCACTGTCCGTGGTACTGAACTGGTCGTACATCAATGCCTAGCTACTCAAAAGTGTGGTCTGAGGATCAGAAACACTGGCATCACCGAAAATTGTTAGAATAGCAGGATCTCAGGCTTCAGCCCAAACCTACTGGATTATACTCCACAATTAACAACATCCTCAAGTGATTCATCAGCTTGTTAAAATTTCAGCAGTGCTGCACTAGGACGCAGTTTACATTACCTTGTGATTATCCTAGGGCTTTGCTTTTATCACCCCTCATTTCAATCCCTTCCTGAGGCACAGCCCAAATGCTGCATTTTTAGCTATGTTTTATTTGGTGATGGAAGTGTGGTGTTATACAGAGAGCATAACTTTTGAATCAAACAACTGGGTTAAAATCTCAACTTGTACTGACCACTCTGAGCTCCGTTGTCCTCATCCATAAAGTGTCAATAATTATAGTATGTCCTTATAATGCCATTTTAAGGATTCAATGATAATAAAGTAGTATTTGTAAAGCACTTAGTCTGGCATATAGCAGATGTTCAACAAGTGTCTCAATCACCTTGTCAGTGCTACATCCTTTACCAAAGAGGGGTACCCTCTTGGCATCACACTCTTGGACATGGTGAAAATTTATTGTAAAACAATTTAGTCTTTAATTTTTGCTCAATTGGGGTGCCTGGGTAGCTCAGTTGGTTAAACATCTAACTCTTGATTTCGGCTCAGGTCATGATCTCAGTGTCATGAGATCAAGCCCCGCATCGAGCTCCACACTGGGCATGGAGTCTGCTTAAGATTCTCTCTCTCCCTCTGTCCCTTCCCTCTCTCTCTTTCTAATAAATAAATAAATAAATAATAATAATTTCTGCTTAATCAAATCATGGTACATGCACATTAAATTAGTTAATAAAATAAGATTTTAATATCCACCAAATCTTCTTTCAGTATTCTGTTTCTCCACCTGTAATTATGATCCAGAGTAAAGAAGGATAAGTTCTTTCTTGACAATTATATGAGATCTGTTTTTATTAAATTAGAGCAAGATGACTTGGTATTTTGAATTCTAAAATGTTTATAAATATCTAGATGCCTTAATTCTACTACCAACAAAATACTATACACATGTACAGCTGAGTTTGTAAATAGTACCATTTACACTTATGTATAGTCTCTAATGAAGCCCCAATGTTGGTAAAATAGAGTGCAGTTTAAATTGCGCCATTTAGGAGCCCTGGGAATACCCTTCACACACTTATTTCGAAACATGAGGAAATGTTGACACATTCATTTTTCAACAGAAATGTCAAACCTGATCATCTGTTCTATTACAATAGTCATTTAATGAGTTTTGACATTTGGGATCATTGCTCACTGTGCCACTGCTGATCTGGAAACACCTGTTTCCATAAAGGAATGAGTTAGAATGAACTTGAGCAGGCCACATCTTTTAGGCACTATATTCTTTTTTTTTAATTATTGGAAAAATAACCTTTGAAATATTTTAAATATCATTTCTTTCG